TATCTATCTATCTATCTATCTATCTATCTATCTATCTATCTATCTATTTAAATAAATAAATAAATAAATAAATAAATAAATAAATAAATAAATTTATCTTGAGGAGCAGACTTCTTTGAATATAACTCTCATCTTGAGCAAGCATGAAGGCGACAGTGGAAAGGAATAAACCTTAAGCAGAACCAGGCTCAGGACAAGCGGCCGTCTGCTTCGACCGGCTGGGTTTGAGAGGAACAGATGGGTTGAGAATCACATGTTAAGAAAGAAATAGTATCAAATGAAAACTATTCAATTTTAACAATTCATTTAAGGAAGTAAATTAGGTCAATTTGGCCTCCAGTAGTCTAAGCCTATGGCAGCACAACAAACCAACCCTAACTATAGGATTTATCAAAAAAAGAAAGTCTTAAGCCCAGTCTTAAAACTGGACAATTTGTCAGCCTCACGGACAGAAACTGGAAGTTGGTTCAAAAAGAGAGGAGCCTGATAACTGAAAGACCTTCCTCCCATTCTGCTTTTGGAAACTCTAGGAACCATCTAAACCATCCAGAGATGGTTTGACATTAAATACGTCTCAGAGAATCAAGAGAAAGTCTAAAACCTTGAGTCTGAACCTCAGGAATAGGATACTAATATGTATTTTACTGTCCTTACAGCATTGCGAATGCCCTGGCCAGTGCAATCTGTGAACGATGTAAGAGTGGCTTTGGTCCAACTGAGAAGATTGTCAATAGTAATGGAGAGCTGTACCATGAGCAGTGCTTCGTGTGTGCCCAGTGTTTCCAGCAGTTTCCAGAAGGGCTCTTCTATGAGGTAGTACCCTCCTCTTCTTTTTCTTCTTTGTTTTTGGGCGTTTCCTTTTTTCAGGGGTCTCCACAGCGAGCCATCCTCCTCCATCTCACTCTGTCCTCTGCATCCTCTGTCCGTCCTCACTCCTCCATCTCCTCTCTTACTGCATCCATATATTTTCTTTTTGGCCTTCCTCTGTCTTTTTTCCTGGCAGCTGCATTTCTAACATCCTTCTACCAATCTACCCACTGTCCTGTCCCCCTCCTCTGGACATGTCCAAACCACTGTCCCTCATCTGGACATGTCCAAACCATCTCAGTCTGGTCTCTAACTTTATCTCCCAGTTGTTCAACCTGTGCTGCACCTCTGATGATCTCATTCCTAATCTTATCAATCCTTCTCACTCCTAAGGAGAACCTCAACGTCTTCATTTCTGCCACTTCCAGTTCTGTCTCCTGTCTTTTTGTCCGTGTCTCTGTCTCCAGACCATATAACATAGCTGGTCTCACCACTGTCTTGTAAACTTTTCCTTTGACCTTTGCTGCCACCCTTTTGTCACAAATCACTCCAGAAACTTTTCTCCATCCACTGCCTGGACTCTCTTCTTCACCTCTTTACCACACTCTCCATTTTCCTGAACAGTGGACCCCGAGTACTTGAAGTCCTGCACCTTTGTGACCTCTGCTCTTTGTAGCCTCACTGCTCCACCGGCCTCTCACTCATTCACACACATGTACTCTGTCTTACTCATCTGTATACTTTTATGTGTATTTAATTTTATAAACCAACACACCTGTAATCCCTAGTGTGTGCACAACTTGCATGCATATATCAGTGTCCCTGGTACTCTTTTTGTTTTGTTTTGTAAACATTTTGATTATTGTATTTTACAGTTTGAAGGAAGAAAATATTGCGAACATGACTTCCAGATGCTCTTTGCTCCTTGTTGCCATCAGTGTGGTAAGTGCTGAATAAGCTCATGGGATTGTTTAGACTTTTTACTCTAATTCTTGCCAAACAAATGCAAAACTCTAATCACATCTGCACTTAGTTATATAGCTAAAGGAGGGGCTTGTTGTATATAAATATATATTGATGGTGATTGTCAAATTTTTTTCTATGGTTTGGAGTTTTGAGCGCAATATGATGACCCACTCCACCCCTGTGATGGGTTTATTCTGTTATATATGTCACAAAGCCTTTTGAGCTGCATTCTTATAACATTTTATGTTTCTCTCGTTTGACAAAACTCACAAACCATTTTGACTTTAATAGATAACTCAGCCCAACACACTGGGTATGGTGTGCACTTGTTACTTACCTGTTACCAAAAGTCACGCACCTTGTAAAGCTCGTTGCATAACGGTACTCCACAAGAGCCGAGCGAATGCTTTGTTTTCTTGAGGTGTCACGACCAAAAGCAAAGTTTGTTCTGGCCAGGACGTTCGAACTCCTGGGAAGTCCTGAATAACATTTCTGCTTTTTCACATTAACCATGCATACTTCAAACTTCTGACCAAGTACACAGTAGTTCTGGGACACCACACGAGAAAAAAGTTCCCCAGATGACGTGTTGAGAATTAACTTTAAGAACCCGCTAAACCAAGGTTGTGAGAAAAAAACGGACAATTTTTAGCTGAAATTGTTTTTATTAATTATTGTAACATGTAGCAACATTAAAGTTGCTTTAATGCTTCATAAGACTGTCCGATCCCTATAAGTACCAGTTATATACCTGGTTTATACCAGGTACTTAGCCTTTAAGTACAGGGTAACAAAATCACTGGGCTGTGTCAGGTATTGATACTTCCTCTGTGAGTTACAACAAGTTAAATAAAAGTGAATGTTCTAAAAGAAAAAACAGTGTAGATGTAAGCATCCCTCAAATCCCTGTGCCGTTTGATAGATCAGACCTCCGTCTGTCAACTCAGAACTGTTTATAGTTTTTGTGTAGAATTTGTCACCAGTGGACAGGCTCCCCAAGGCATGTTCTTTACTTTTTGCTTTAGTTTTGGACACTTCATCACCACATTCTCACCAGAGTCAGGGAGAGAAACCCAAACAAATTACCCAGAAGATGCATCCCCTGGCGTTTCTTCAGGCAACTGTTGAACAATAACACCTTTTTTTTTTTTCAAATCCCAAACTAAAATTCTCTTTCTGCACCAGTGGCATGCTTTAATAAAGTGCTTTGTTTGTTCGTTGAATGTCACAAAGAGGAAAAATATAATAAAAGTGTAAGCAAAGCTCAGTCATCCAGGTAGATGAGAACAAAAAAGGTTAAATTGTGTCATCTGGACCAGTTTCTTTAAATGACAAAGTGTAAGCACTTGTTAGAAATTCCTGTTCAGTTAAAAAATATTGATCGATAGCAGCATCTGTTCCTCCTGAACACTGAAATCTGACTCTTATCATCCCGACTTCTTTTGATGGTTTGATTCTTAGGGGAGTTCATCATCGGACGTGTCATTAAGGCCATGAACAACAGCTGGCACCCCGAGTGCTTCTGCTGTGACATTTGCCAGGCAGTGCTTGCAGATGTTGGATTTGTTAAAAATGCTGGCAGGTATGTAACCCCATCTCATGACAGTCTTTAAAAAACACTTTAGCAGCCTATAGAGGAGGTGGTTCTACTCACCGAGCTTTGCTTTCTAATAAATAATAGAATTTTATGCAGCTATGATTCATCGTGTCAAAAACCATAGTGAAAATTTCTTGACTTTTTTTTTTTTTTCCATTTTACTGTTGCCTTCAGGCACCTGTGCCGCCCGTGCCATAACTGTGAGAAAGCTCGAGGCTTGGGCAAATATATCTGCCAGAAGTGCCACGCCATCATTGAAGAGCAGCCGCTGATCTTTAAGAACGACCCGTATCACCCAGACCACTTCAACTGCAGCAACTGCGGGTCAGTCTCACAAGAAAACACCGTCTCTTCCAGTTTAGCCTGAACGTTAAAGCTAGCTTCACCTGGTTTGTGTAACTCGACTGTTTAATGTTTCTAGGAAGGAGTTGACGGCCGACGCAAGAGAACTGAAGGGGGAGCTCTTCTGTTTGCCGTGCCACGACAAAATGGGCGTGCCAATCTGCGGTGCCTGCAGGAGACCTATAGAGGGGCGCGTTGTCAACGCCATGGGGAAACAGTGGCATGTGGAGGTTTGTCGCCATTTGTCACTACACTCCAAATAGTTTAGCATTCTTGCCTTTGTAAAGTACTCTGTAAAGTGAAGCCTACTCTATGCTACATTAGCGGGCTACTTCTTGGATAAGGTTTTTTTTGTTTTGTGACAGAATCTTGCTTAAGAGGAAATATTTTTATGTACTTATTTAAATCAAAAGAGACATAATTTACCCTTTTCCCCCCCTCAAGTTGACACGGTTATTTTAACTTTCCCGTGAGCTGACTCTGTACATATTTACTATTTATTTGTCAGCTCTTTTCTTTTAGAGGAATTGGACAGTTTTTTTCCCACAGGGTGTGTCTTTAAACTGCTGAACTTTTAACCCGCCATGTGGAAATCAAAGTGCTCTAAATAACCCCAGAAACACAAATTACTTTGCAACAAAGGATATGGTATTTCCAGTTTATGAGTAGAATGTATTTTTCCAAGTCAAGGTCAAAGGACATGCAAATCATCATTAGTCCCTATGAATTCTTAAGTGAATCGTTTAACCGATGGACATTTTTATTCTGAAATAGAGAAATTATGTACTTTTTAAATCCGAATAGCTCTCAAGCTAAAAAAAACACATTTTCTTATGTCATATTTAAATATAACTAATGAGCCTGCTTTGTTTAAAAAAAAAAGGCTTCAACCTTGGGTAATATATACTGTTTGACATGCAGTCTGACTCTTTGAGAGTAAAAAAATATTGTAAATGAGCTAATATCTGTTGGTATACAGACTTGAGCACTTGTAAAACAGATTCATTCACCTGAAGCTGAGCGCAGCAGATCTGTTCATCCGAGTGGAGGCTGCTCAGTTTCACACTCTTCAAAAAGCTCTAGACTATTAACAGTTTACAGCAGGCAGTTTAATGCTAAAGACACTAAAATGGATTTAGTTACTTCAAGGATTCTTCTGATAAACTAGAAAAGTAAACTCGTGTCCAGATTTAGCTTTGGCTAAAATTTGAACGACTGCTCTGCATACGTTGTATATTTTATTACAAACATGAGGATAGAGACACAAGCTGGTCTGTCTTTATTTTTCATGGCTGCACAAGATCTTTGTGAAGGTTTGTATGCGCACCTAGTTTATTTAAGGGTTTTAGAGAGCAAGTAGTTGTTTTATGCATTTGAGGTTTTGTTCCAAAATAACTAAACTCCTGTGCCAAATGAGGGCAGAGCAAAAAACAAAAAGTAATAATCAGTTACTCAGTTTTTATTTTTTTATTTTTATTTTTAAACAAAATCCTCAGTCTAGATCAGGTGTCTGCAACCTGCAGCTCTGGGGCCACATGTGGCTCTTTGGTCCGTCTGCAGCGGCTCTTTCAGGCAGTGACCAAAATTATAATAAAACTGAATTTTATTTAAATTATTGCCAACAATGAAAATGGCCAGTTTTATCATATTTCCTGTCGTTTTCAAAAATGTGAAGGATGGTATAAATACCAGGCATAAAACGTGGACTACATCATGCTAGTAGCTTGTTAGCCACTTTAAGTCAACGTCCAGTCTCACAGCGTGATCTTTCCCTCGAACCCACCAGAATGTTTTGGAATATCTTTAAGACAAGTTGCTGAGAAGGAATATTTGATAACACTAATAAAACACAAAACAAAGTCAAATTAAGCAAAACTTTTTTTTTTCTTTAAAAATGTAACTGTATATCCAACAAACTGGCCTAATGTTAGACTTTAGCTTTATGCTTTAAGTTGGATACTTAATTCTTCAACAGAACTCGCATAAGCCTGGAGAGTTCAGTGTTTGAATTTTTATAAAATAGTTAAAAATTATATATTTTTTTCTTTCTTTACATGAATCTGGTCTTTAATTTTGTAATAAAATGTAAAAATATCAAGAAATGTTAATAATAGTTAGACATTTTTCGTTCCACTGGCCAGAAAAGCCACCTCCCAACAAACTTGGAGTGGCCCATGGGCCACCAGTTGACAGTAAACAGTTGGAGCAGGTTTTACAGGTTTTACAGCTCCAGACACGTCATAATTCGTAAGCAAAGTGGCAAAAATGGCTTTTTTTTGTTGCAAAGGTTGCAGACCCCTGGTCTAGCTGCTTCTTTCCACAAGCTTGCTGCCCGGTGTTTTTGTTCAAAACCAAATTTCATTAAAACGATTCTGGTTTCCTGAGTGTTTCTCTATTGCACTGGAGGCTAATAAATATGATGGAAAATCTCAAGTAAATGTCAAACTTTAAAAGGTTATACATTTGATTCACATCTGCAACATGCTTTTTTAGATTTGTAACTTTAGATAATTTTTCAGTAGACATCAGCCATGGTTCAGTATTTCATATTCTGTTTGGACGGGCTCTGAGGCAGGTTTTACAAGTCCCTGTTTGGCTTTTATTAGAGACGCGTCATCCTCTTAACAGCTTGTTTTCTCTGTTGACAGCATTTTGTGTGTGCCAAGTGTGAGAAGCCTTTCCTGGGTCATCGCCATTATGAGAGGAAAGGTTTGGCTTACTGTGAGACTCACTACAACCAGGTAAGAAGTCCGTTTTGGTTGACACGGCTGCTGTTACAATATTGGTGAGGTACCGATTAGAGGAATTTAGTGGCTGAATTGATGCCTAATCTTCTCGTTCTTCTGCTGTCAAGCTTTTTGGCGACGTCTGCTATCACTGCAACCGTGTGATTGAAGGTGATGGTGAGTATCGATGCGACAGAGCACACAGTTGGTGTGTTTTACACTTCAGTAGCTTACACAGTGTTGCTTTGAGATGCAGCACTTGAATGTGTCTGATTTTTGTTTTTTTGTGCGACCTCCTCAGTCGTGTCTGCTCTTAACAAAGCCTGGTGTGTCGGATGTTTCTCGTGCTCCACCTGCAACACCAAACTCACCCTCAAGTAAGTAAAATTGTAGATTTGCATCTTTAAAAATTACAGTCGACCCTCTGAGTATGATTTTGTTTGAAAACAGAATGTTATAGCATATTTTCAAGTACTGATGGAAGTAAACATGTAGAAAGATGGATGTTTTACAGAAACTGGTTTGATTTTATGTATTTCTTTTAGGGATGCACAATATTTTCGACGTGGTATCGGAATCGGACGATATTAGTTTAAGTTAAATTTCGGACATTGGCCATTCCATCAAAATAACTCGCCGATATAAAAGACGCTGTTTTTGTATGACAACCCAGTGACAGGGATGCCTGCAGCTGTGATGACGTCACGCGTGCCTACTTGATTTGATCACGGCGGAGAGGAAGAAGTCAAAATGTCGGCGGCGTGAAAGTTTTATTTTCCGTTGAGGATGTTGTATTCCGAAGATTCTTGGACTACGTTGAGCCTCGCTACATCATCCCCAGTCAGAGATATTTTCCCGACGTAACGTACAAGCCGTCATTTCCAACATAATTGAGAAGCTAATAGCCGATAGCACTTGGGTGAGTTTTACCACAGACAAGTGTTAGCCCCGTTAGCATGATTAGTCTTACGGCATAATGGAGATACAAATCTTTTAACTTAAAAAGTCTGTCCTTCATGCACAAGAGTGCAGAGGATCCCACACTGCAGCGAGGAACCTGGAACAAGCCTCCACAAGTGAGACAGCATCACAGGTGACTAATGCTAATAAATAACATTTAACACTTTTTGTTTATTATAAGTTAAAGTGCTGTGCATATCATATGGCTGTTACTGAGTACATGTCACCAGTTCTTACAGCTGTTGCACAGTTTTTGTATCAAATAAGCCTAAATAAGAGGGCTATGTTCTGACAAAGGAAAGTATATTAAAAATATCGGTATCTGTTATTGGCCATATAAGTTTTAACATATCAGATATCGGCCTAAAATCCAATATCGTGCATCCCTAATTTTTATATTAATATTTCACCATACAATACTTGCTTCCAGCAAGGTTTTAGGGAGGAATAATTCTTCCTTTATGCTGAACATTACAGCGATTGTGCTTTTTAATGGGGAAAAAAATGGGTCTACATACAAAGTGTAAGTTTGAACAAATTCATTTTCAGTGGGTTGACTGTATCTTAAAAAATTAAAACCTCATCACGTCTATTTCTTTGAAGCTATGGTTGTCGTCATCTCACTTTTGTCTTAACACTTCCTGAATGTGTGTTTTCAGGCTTCTTACCTCTCTGGCTCTCTCTTTTCTTTCAATCTCTCTTCTTTTTTTTTTTTTTTACACGCCTCACTTGCTGCGTCTACGGTAACAGAGATAAGTTTGTTGAAATTGACCTGAGGCCAGTGTGCAAGCACTGCTATGAGCGCATACCCGAGGAGCTGAAACGCCGCCTGGCTCGACGTGAGCGCGAAGCCAAAGATCGCAAGAAGCAGCCTGCTGTCTGTCTGTAGCTGAAGTTACTCACCACCTCCTTCCATTCCTGTGGTGTTGTCTTGTCTCTAGCATGCCTTTGTCTCTTCACTAAAACTAAACTTCATTCAGTTGTTTTATGCTGTGGCATGAATCCATGAACTTGTGAGCATTAATGCACGTAGGTTGAAATGAGTTGTTGGGACCTTTTAAAGGACAGAAGAGCTGGGTGAAAGGTGGTGACCCAGCAGCAGCTTGACACCCACATTGTTTTTGTTCCCCCCTCCCTTTCTGCAGGAACAAGTTTGTTGAATTTGACATGAAGCCTGTTTGCAAAAAGTGTTATGAGAAGTTTCCTCTTGAGCTCAAGAAAAGGCTGAAGAAGTTGGCCGAGTCGCTGGCACGTAATTGATCCTCATCGGGACGATCACCTGGATGAGCTCCAGCTGTTTATGACGGTAAACATTTCAGGTGGAGTTCTGCAGAGCAAACAGTCTGCAGAAGCTGAGGGAGGACATTTCAGTAGTTTAAAGTTTTTAGGTCGAGTCTTTCCTTCTGGTGACGCGTTTGTCCAAAGACATCAATCACTCCTTTAAAAAAAAAAAAACATATATACAAACCATTCTGCAAACATAAATAGAATGACAGGCGGGGGGATTCCAGATTGCACGTTCAACTAACTGAGTTTATTCATAAATTTAGAGTTAATTCACCCCAAAAGGTACGTCTGGGTTTTCAGTTCCAGAATGGCTGATTTATAATGAAGTTGGATAATTTAGAGTTTCATTACTTCGAGTCAAGACCGTTCAGATGCCCCCATAAAAAGCCATCCTCATTGGAGCGCTGATACTTCAATTTTAAATACTACTACTAAAAAAAAAACAAACGAGTTAGGCTGTTGGCTGAAAATGAGGCGCGCACTGATGATGTCACAGCTCAACGAAGGTCTTTAGTCTCTCCCAGAGCTTTTGTTTATGTGGGTAGTTTTAAATCATTATAAGCATTTATATCAAGAAAAATTAAATGGGCCACATTCCTCTAAAAATGTTAAATATTGGAAAAAATGTTTTCAGGAAAATGCTTCTATAAAACAAGATTCTCAAAACTGCTGTACAAGCTGGTTTTATAGTTATGCATCATTACAGAAATTGCCTAAATAAAACAAAAGGATGGGTGATGACAGTTTTAACAAGGTTCATTTTTGTAATGATGCTTTGATTTATGTAAAGTGTAAAAAGATACATTTGACTTTCCTACTTGACTGCTACACACTAATGAACCACAGTTATTAAATCCGTCTGAGTTCTATTATTATTTTGGCCCATAAATGCTGTTTGAACTCCAGTTAAGGTGGGTCAGTTTTCACAGACGGCAGATTTATCGTGGGATAAATATTTTAAATTCAATCCGCTGCGTTTGCAGGCTCGCAGGTAATTAGAGAAGACAGAAGAAATGTGAATTATTTGCCCTTATTTTGTTATTATTATTTTTAAATCCTTAAATGAACAGACTTTGTTCTGATGAGAGCGCACATCCGATGTGTTCCACTGGACGTGCTCGGTTGGGGAATTTTACTGAGATAAACGAGTGAATCTGATGAAAGAAACATGTGGGAGTGAGAGCAAGTCCATTTAGGAAATCCTGTCTTTGACACCTGACAGTATGAAGTAATTCTGCTTCCAGTCAGTCGGATTGTTTAAAAATAAACAAGTTGGACGGTTTGCTTCAGGTGGGGGGAGACCAGCAGAAAGTCCGATTGAGGTAAACCTGCCAGAGAGCAGGTTAACTTCATAGTCTGTTACCATGGTGATAAGACTCGGAGCATCACTCGCACTCCTTTCTGGAATAAAAACCCAGTTTCCTTAAACTTTGAGTTTTCACTAAACCTCTCTGTGGTCTTCTCATGAACACAACCTTTTTTTGTGTTATTATACATTTTATTTTATTATTCTGTCTAATTGTGTTTATTGTTTTTCCACTTGGAAACACTGACAATATCAACTTAATGCTTCCTCTACCACCAGTGTGTTCACTTTTATTTGTACAACTTGTATAATCATAAAAAAAAAAAAAAAGTTTATTTTAGTTCCTAAAAGCAGCTGTGCCTTGATTATAATGAGAGTAGCAACGGAGATAATGGTTTAAATCAGTACTGCCTTATTTATCAAAGTATCTACTGAATGCAGATTTTTTTATTATCATTCATACCTCGGAGTGATTGCAACCACTAAATGCATAAAACCTATAAGTTCATTTTTATTGTAAGAAAGTTTTAGTTTAGCTAAAAGTCCTCATGATGCATACAGAAATATAAAAGTGTAATTAAATGACATGACTATGTATAATATGTTGCAATGGTCCTGCAGAATTACAAGCAGACTTGATTTGGGAGGAAGTGTTCTTAAACCCTCACAAATCCTTGTCTTGAATTTCAAAGCGAGCCCTTATAAAAAGGCATTTTTTGTGATTTCTGGATGTTTAATAATTGTAAATTGTAATAATTGTTCGCTTTTCTCAGGAAAACGGTTCAAAAGGATCCTGATTGAATTAATTTCCAGCTGCTAATTTAACACGAGGATGCTTTGATGCGAAAATGTCTCTACGAGTCAGCACATTACTCCAGCTGTTTGTGAACTGTTTTTTTTTTTTATAAGGGCCTCGTACAAAAAATAGAATTGCTTCGATTAGCCTTGTTTTATTACTCTAAAACGGTTTACATTCACTTTTTTTTTTTTCTTGCATTTTATCGACCAGCAAGAATCGGAGAATTACAGTTTACTCCATCATGTATCCGGAGTTCAGCTTCATGATGAATGATCAATAAAGTATTAGTGTTCAAACCACATTGAGTTTTTTCTTTTTTTTAATCGTTATCTGAACGTCTGGCCAAGCTCTTAAAATGATTGTTGGTTTTTTTAACAGCTTCACCAATAAGTTAATGCTCTGGAAAGTTGAGTCGGTGAAGGAGTTGGAGCATAAACGTCTGGTATTGACTGATATTTCATTGCAGCAACACAAAGTGCATCGTGATTATGTTCAGGTTTTAGAGGTTGTAGTTAAACATCATAACGCACGGTGATCTGGCCTCTTGTCAGGTCACATTGTGGTGCACGGTGCGTAGATATTCACCTAACTTCTTGTGTAAATGTTTTTAAAAGTGGTGCGATTTGCTTTTAAACAATACCAGGAGGTAATTTCTTTAAATCCCATTCGTCAAACTCAAGGCCCGAGGGCCAGATCCGGCCCTCGTTGCAATTTTTATCCGGTCCACGTAAGAATATTTTAAATCTATTAGAACTGGCTTTCCAGTTCATGGCAGCTCAAGTCTCAATCGCTTCTCAGTTTACCTAAAAACTGAACATATTTCCTATAAACTTCACGTGCAATTAGTCATCTTTGAACAGAGAATTACATTTGAATGTTCTAGTGATTGGTTCTAGTGATTTGACTTTTTTTTTTCAATTTTTTTAGCCGATTTGATGCTAGAAAAAATTTTAATACTAATGTAAACAGATCCTTTGCAAAAAATTAGAATATCATGGAAAAGTTGTTTAACTTCCATAATTCTGTTCAAAAAGTTAATCTTTAATAGATGATAGATTCAGGGCCCACAATTTCAAGTATTTGTTTATTTTTTTACATAATTTGGGCTTCCAGCTCATGAAACCCACAAAAACAGGATTTCAAAAAATTAGAATACTGTGAAGAAATCAGGCCAAATGTTTCAGGGCATGAATGTTTTAAACTGAGTGTGACACATTGATCATCTACTAAACTCAAAGCACCTGCACAGGTTTCCCCAGGTGTCATTAAATTACTGCAGTTTGGTTCAATTATCTCAGTTCAGTTCATTATGGGGAAGACTGCAGACATAACTGGCCAGAAGACCATCATTGATACCCTCCATAGGATGGGTAAGCCACAAAAGTTCTTCGCTAAGGAGGCTGGCTGTTCACAGAGCGCTGTGTCCAAGCATCTCAATGGAAAGTCTAGTGGAAGGGCAAAATGTGGCAGGAGAAGATACACCAGTAAAAGAGATTACCGTGGGCTTCAGCGGATTATCAAACAGAAGATTCCAGAATCTGGCAGAGATCCAGAAAGAATGGAAAGAGGGGAGTCAACGATCTCCGTCATGATTTGACTTTATTTAACCTTTAAACCAACTGAGTGCAAAACTCTGGAGACCGGAGCTTTTAACAATTTAAGTACTTAAACTGGAAGTTGTCCCCAACAAGAAGCAGCTGAGGTCTGAGGCTGCATTTGTTGTTATTTTGGGCTTAATGCAAAGTTTGGCTTCATGAAGTCTTGTGGAGTTCACCGAGGGTGAAGTGAGAATGCTTGACGTGCCAAAATGCCCTAAAGCCTTTAGGAAATATGTAAAATGTGCAGGTGAGGGAACAAAACAAGAGTTTGACTTCAGCAGGGATTAAAGAAAACCGCTAAAAGTAATGCTTATTCATTTAATGCTTTATTTTAACAATATCTTTTGAATTGTTTGTTTAATTGGATGTACACAGGATAATAAGACGGGAGAAAGGTGGAGGGCGAGTCTCTGCCTCGTGCGGAGGAGTTTATGTATCTTGGAGTCTTGTTCAGATGAGACGTGGTTTTTAGACTTGTCTAAAAAGGTTTTTAGGCATTCACTTCCTCTGGAGGGTTTTACCTTGTCCTCCGTTACCGATGCAAAGAACCTTGGTGTGATTGTTGATCAGGATATGTCGTTTAACTCCAACAAAGTAAATGTTACCATTTGAGTTTCCTCAAAACTGTCATCGCTGAAGGGATTACAAAAGCCTTTGAATCTGGGGGCACGTTGGCCAAAAGTGATTTATAATCTCCATCTCCCCTTGGATCATCCTGGGAGATTAATTTAGAGTAGCCAAGTCTGGGTTTCCTTCCTGGACCTGCTCTCTCTGCGTCTCAGTTTTTGATAACGTGAAAGTTGATGGTCCGGATTGCTAAATGCAGCTGTTACCCAGACTGGAACTAGACGAGTAATGACTGGGGATGTGTTGAAGGAATCTTGACAGCTGGTTCTTCGAATAACCAGATGGTGGGAACTTGTTCTTGTACGTTTGTCGGAGATGTGGTGGTAAACTCAAGAAGTGCAGTCTGAACGTCGCCCATTCACCAAATGTCATACCCAGGAGGGCTTTGAGGTCATCTATGTCACCAAAAACCAGAGCAGAGCCGTCGAGCATATGTTCCTTCACTATGTTGATGTACTTGGTGTCATATTCCATTCTCTCCATCTGAGAAGAAGAAAATCAAACAAATGGAGGATTACTGAGTCCATGATATTGTTATCATGTTTAACAAGTAAATTGTTCAGAAAAAATAAAAAGTCAGAAT